CCCTCTTCTCTCTGCCTTTGCCAGTCCCTGCCTGCCCTTCTCTCTCCTGGGAGTGTACTAAGAAATACTGCCCACTTTCATAGGATTCACTATAATTTTCCAGTGAAGTAGTGTTAAAACAAATTCCCTAGAGTTCAGTTTAATTTTAAATACCAAATTCAGATAAATTTAAATGTGATTTGCTCTTGAACTTGCTTATGTAATTTGGCTTATATCTACAATTTATTTCCGGTGAATGCCATAGGAGATCTCAAACACATTGATCTTTTTTTGTCCTTTTCAAAGGTACGTCTTTGTGTGGCCCCCATCAACGTTCATGAAGGGAATCAAAGCACTTTTTCAGTGTATTTTGAAAGGTACCGATGTGGATGCAATTTCACTGCCAAGCTGCCTGAAGACTGCTAGGAAATTGGTAATTCTTAATGTATTTAAGCATTTTGCCATCGTTCAAGTTTTATTTGAACACTTCTCCTTTTGCTGCTGAAAACCTGGTGACAAGATCCCTCTGAGAGAGGGTCTGGGTACGTATAAGTTGTCCTTTGATAAAGTATCACTCCAATAGAGATAACGGGCTCTTTGCTGTTGAAAGCAAGAGAGGAGCCTTTGTTTCCAAATCACTTTGCAAATCCATAGCGAATAATCTCCCATTAGGGTTTGTTTTCATCAGAAAATATGGAAGAGTAATGGCCAGGCTGGGACTGTCTTTGGTTTAGGACAATGACAGCAGGGGGCTTGAAGGTACCTCCAGGTTGAACCACCATCCCTGTATTCAATGTGACTGGTTTCTAGGGGTGGGCAACCTTAAAAGATTGGGGCCAACACCTTTTCTCAGATTTTGGCTGTCCATAGCTGTTGTAGTGGTGCTCCTCAGTCCAAGCCAATGCTGTGCCATCCAACCACATGTCTTTCCCTTCTTTTAGCCCTTTTTGCAGAGGAAATCTGAGTGTGTGAACTGGGAGACCACTGCGAGGTGTTGGTTTGGTGCCCTGAACTGGAGAATAGATGGAGTGGGATGTAAATCCATCGTGGACCATGCCTGCCCTACAACACGTAGTCATCCTGGTCTGTCTGAAGAGGGATTCATAAAATTGGATTCATAAAATGGATTCTAAAAGGATCCATATCGTTCTCCCTGAGCAAAGGAGAGGTTGGAAGCCTTAAAACTATGGCTTCACACTAAAAGGTTTAAAGCCGTTAATAAAAGGTATTAATTACATCATCAAATTTTATAACCATTCCTAAGACCTTTATCCTCTCTGACATCTAGCAAGAGAGTGCATTCTGTCTGGGGCCCTGATTAGCTCACAAAAAGGAGAGATTAGAGTATTAGCCATTACTGAGCAGATGGATCATTACACAGGACCTTAAGACGAGAAATAAATATTGTCAGTAAGTCACATTTGGAAGACACAAAATATTTAAAATAAAGCTCTAAATACCTGGGGAGATTAACAAGGATCTAAGTTTGTGCTGTGACAAAGCAGGGGACTGCAGTCGGGGGATTCATCTCCCCGTTGCTGGTGACGTGGTGTTATTCATCCCCTGTTTGCTGTATTTATCGGTGGTTGGCATTTTTAGGAATACGGAAATAATGAGTAGTGTCGGGTTTTGTTTTGCTTGCTTTTTGTTAAGTGGATACAAAAAAGCTGGAAATGTGGATCAAGCAATTTACAGAGGTGGGGAAATGATGGGCTTCGTTTGAATAACTAGCTCTCTACTTCACTGGGAAATTATAAGTATTTCAATCTATATTTTTATGAAAACACCAAAATCATTACATTGTCTGCGTATCAAACTATTCCATTGGCTGTTTTTACATGTTTGAGTTAGTTCATTGGTCCCAGAACAACTTTCTGAATTGGTTTGAGCTTTGACATTACGTCGAAGGCAGTGCTACTAGCCCAGGAACACCTGCTTAGAGTCTCCAAAAAAATGCATTTCACTTCTGTTCTTCTTTGTTAGGAGTAATACACTTCACCACTGGGAACAAGAATGAATGCAGAGCCATTTAGAGAGAGGGCTGAATTGAGGACAACTCTAATCTCTCTTAGTAGGTGGTGGAAAATGATGAAAAGGTGTTTCTTGCCTCTGAAAAAAAAGTCTTAAAGTGACTCTAAGTGTGGTATTATTAAGGTATGGCGTTTGTGTACTGTTCCATTGATTTCTGTACCTAATGGTTGCAACTCTTAACCTTCTGCCCTGCAAACTCTGCCTGGAAGTGGATAAACTCTCCACCTGCTTGGAATGTTTTCTAGCTTGTCTGCATCCTCCCTGATAACCTCTGCGAACCCGTGACTACTAGACTGCATCACCAGGGGTTAAATAATTTAATGCCAAGCCCACGGCAACGAAATTAGTCAATATTCCTGTGCCTGGCTGAGTCAGAGAGCAAAGAATTTTCAAAATCCTGGGGCAGGAGCCGTAGGCATAATATCACAGGTTACAGTGGGAACTCTGGATGGTGGGACCAGCTTTCCCAGAGTCATGGATATAGGAGAGAAAACCAGATGGTGGCATACAAATGGCCTACAGGTCTCACGTCATGGGACTCCAGTGCTTCGCGTTCACTCTGCAGATTTTTCTGGTGGGACCAGCTTTCCCAGAGTCATGGATACAGGAGAGAAAACCAGATGGTGGCATACCAATGGCCTACAGGTCTCAGTCTGGCCTACAGGCCTACAGGCCTACAGTCATGGGACTCCAGTGCTTCGAGTTCACTCTGCAGATTTTTCCTTCTTTCACTGATTTTGCCCATTTCTGTCTTCTCGTTTCTTCCTTTCATTGTGCCTTTTTTTTTTCAAACACCTGTCCCTGTTGTTGTTTTCTCTGTTTTCCTTGTGCTTTCTGCAGCGGTCTTGTCTTGTAGTCTTTGGCAGGTCTGGGGTGAAACACACACAACACCCTTTTTCTCCTCCAGCATCTCTTCTTTCCCACCTGTGTCCTTACTGCTATCAGTTACTCATATGCTGATTGCTCAAGTGGGTCACTTTATTATTGCTCCAGAAACAGCCAGGTTTGTCATATTCAGAAGTACCCACTTGGTGTATCAGATGGAAACCACACGGTATTAGGAAACACACACAACACCCTTTTTCTCCTCCAGCATCTCTTCTTTCCCACCTGTGTCCTTACTGCTATCAGTTACTCATATGCTGATTGCTCAAGTGGGTCACTTTATTATTGCTCCAGAAACAGCCAGGTTTGTCATATTCAGAAGTACCCACTTGGTGTATCAGATGGAAACCACACAATATTAGATATTATCTCTGAAGGCTTCTAACCAGGTAACACCCACATGGATGTAGCTCGTATCGCTGACATGAGGAATATTTATTTGCATAATGCAAACTTTTGTCTACACTTTAAACATAAGATATTATCTCTGAAGGCTTCTAACCAGGTGACACCCACACGGATGTAGCTCATATCGCTGACATGAGGAATATTTATTTATTTGCATAATACGAACTTTTGTCTACACTTTAAACATTATGTGCGATATTTATCATTACTGCTCAACATAAAAGTGATGGAAAAGATGAAATAAATAATGCTGAAATTCTCTCACTATTCCATATCTGAAAGTAATGCAAAAAGCTAATGGTTCTTTAATAGCTGGACTAAGGCTTTTAATCCTTGATAGAGTTCTTGCTGTGATTATTCTTCTAGCACTGGTCTAGTTGTTTGTGCTTTGGGTAAATCAGGGACCAAAGCACTCTTCATATTGTTCTGAAGGTCTCTCTTGCTGGCGATTTAAGATTTGAAATAGAAAAGAAACATTAAAAATGTGGAGACTGGGCAACAGAGCTCCTCCGAGCTGCAGCGGGGCTGACACGCCGAGGGGAAAATTCTCCCAGTTTAAAAATAGAAACTTGTTCCACCCGCGGATTAACTTGCTATCTAATCCACTCCTGTCCTGCCACGTGGCACACTCCCTACACACACAAACTGCCTGAGGAGCCGGGACCAGGTGGGACTTCATATGGTACTTCCTTCCCATACTCTTGCATGGTTCTGAACGGCAACAAATCCAGGAGGAACGTGCAAAGTGTGTGTCCAACACATCATAGTGGTCAGTTTTCTGCGCACAGACATTTATGGAGATTAAAAACCCATGAAACCAAAGGTGGTCCACAGCCCAGAGCAGTGGTCAGTGCAGGACCGTTAATTCACTCCCCGGAATTATCTCTGGTGCCTTCAGTTGGCAGCGTCTTACACTGAACAGCTCGTGAAGTCTGGCTTTACACACCTGCTCTGTCTCTGAAATAAATAACTGACAGTGCTGTCACTCCTGAGAGACAGGCTCATTCTTTCCCTGTAGGTACTTTCAGCATTGAAACTTAATTGGAAATTGTAAAACTTGCAATAAATGTTAAGGTGTTTGATGAGGTCAACGGGGGACAGATCCTTCAGCGGCATTAGCTGTTGAGGAAGATTAAGGCAAATGCAACATTTAGTGCTCCTGTCTTCTTCTTCTAAGCAAACTGCAGTTGAAATCCAATCAATCATCACTGTCGTATTTACGATGAAGTTGCCTTCTACCAGTTTTGCTGTCACACCTTTATTATGGTTAAAGAGATACAGAGTTACTTGAAGCCCCTACTGTGGTCTCTTCGTTGTTTTTTAATTAGGTCTACCCATAGACCCACACTCTGGCATTGGCCACGTGCAGCTGGGGGAGAGAGAAAGGGATACATAAAAAAGTGGCTGTCGGTAGCATTTGCCTTTGCAAGAGTCTTGCATCATTGCTCTTATCCTTCTTAAGGTTTATTTATTGTTAAAAAAAAGAGAGACACTATCTAATTATTTGCCTAATGGAAAATGTACATACAAAACCTAAAAGTGCTGACACTGACATTGCAAACAAATGTAAGACACGAGAGTTCTGGTAAGCTAAATATTAGCCTTACAATTAGACAATTGCTAACTTCATTTGAATTACATTGTTAATGAAACCGTGGAATTCATATAAGTGTAAAGGCCAGTTCTTATTTTCCATTTCAAAAATCGTCGAGAATGGGGTAAATGAAGTTGTCTTTGAACAAGCAGTATGCCAAAATCTGTCCTCCACAAATCATTGAGATGACTCCAGATCCTGGAAGAAAATATATGACTCTTTAATATTAATTTTTAAAGTGGAATACAAATGTTAGGCTAAAATTTTAAACAGGTATTCTTTTTACCTTCAATTTTTTAAAAAATGGCCTGACTACTTAAACTTGTTGCCCAAGGCTTTAACCACCTACAAAGATACCAGCCCCAGCAGCTGCTGGTGCAAAACCAGTATCAGGAATTTATTTGCCTTTCCCCACCATTTAGGAACTTACTGCAGCTGTCAGCCCTTGTTATCCATCACATAAGAAGGAACAGAAGCCAGTCCTTTTCCAATAATGTTTTTTCAAGGTAATATAATCTAGTACAAAGCTATGCTTCTAATTTTACAGAAAATTAAACATTCAGAAAGGAAGCTTGGCCATTGGCTCTAAGGAAATGTGATGACTGGGATTAATAGAATCACAGAATGGTTAGAGTTGGAAGGGAGCTCAAAGATCATCGATTTATCTCATCTATCACAAGTGCCTGTGCAGAGTGTTTATAAAAATTGTCTCTGAAGGTGCCTGTTTCTTCCCATTGAGTATAAAAGATACCAAGGAAGACCACTTTGGACAACTGTCTTTTTGGCACCTGAATTAAGTGCGATAGTTTGATGAGTCAGGACTTAACCATGGTTTATTTCAAGAAGGTGAGTGTATCTGCTGCCGGCAAGATTAACGTAAGCTGAGTGCATTCTGGTCTTAAAAAAAGATTTTTTTTAAGGAAAAGCAAATGTTCGCCTGTGTTACTTGCCTGGGTCATTGAAGTATAAATGAAAAGCATATGTTTCTTCTTTAAATGTTGATATTTCTCAAATTAGTAAGGTAACAGATATTTAGTAGGAATGATTCATACTGTAAATACTGATTTTCTACACAGAGTCTAACAATTTAAACTTTACTGAATGGAAGTATACCTAATGCCAGCCACCAGTGCAACATCAGGGGGAATTCAGACATAACTGCAAGGAGAAGAAAAGGAGAAATGTAAATTTTTAAACAATAAGGATGGGGATAATTATGTGTCGTAAATTATATACTTTACATTTATTGAAATTGAAAATAGGTATTTCAGTCCTGTCATTCAGATTCTTGGCCATACTGTTAAGCTGAGCCTCGTGAGCGAACCCACTGGAAGGCAAGTCTTAAACCAAAGAAATAAATGTGTGCTAAACGGAGTTCTTAAACTCTCTGCAGAAAAAAAATGCCTTTTTTTATTATTTACCCATTTTATCACAACAGAGACACACATTAACAAATCTGGGCTTGATTGGACATCAAAATGCATCAAATATAATGATAGAATATACCTTCCTGTATAAATTATATACAAAGCAGTTTTTTGTTGTAGTTTTGGCAAATTTCTTGAGCTAAATGCGTAAGTTATTCATAAGGAATAACAGTAGTTTAAATTCCAGGAAATCAAATGCAGTAGGTGAGAAATTATGCTTTGTTTTTTCAGATGAGGTCTCTGTTGGTCTCTGGCTTAACATGTCATGGGAACTGGAGAGTTCCCATCTCTATAAAGTGCTGAAAGAGAAATGGAAAAGAAAATTGGAAAATTGAAGATGAATTATTATGTAGTAGGGAGGGATTGTAGTTTGTCAGTGATACTTTTCCCTATTTCTAAATTATAGAATAAAAAAAAAAAACCAACAACTAAGCTTGTTGTTATAGGAGAAAAGAATCCCCATGAGGGCTCTGGCAAGGATGGGGTTAAAGTATATTTCCTAATCAGCAGTAGCAGGATTTTGCTAAACAGCAGGAGAAGGAGGAGCAGGTTTCCAGGTGCTGGCAAAAAGTGATGATGACTCTCATTTGCAACAGCCAATTCTTTTCCTTTCCTCTGAGAAGAAGAGTTTCAGGGAGGAAAAAAAAAAAAAAAGACATTTTGATGGTAAAATGCTGTATTTTCCTCCATGAGATTTAGTTCAAATGATCTAATTTTAAAATTTGGAATTGCCTTTGCTGAAACAATCTTATTTTTTACTCTGAACTAGAGCTGAAGTTAATGAGTAGAGCCTAAAGTGTCAGGGCATGGGCAGCTATTCATTTCTTGGTTTAGAGAAAACCACACCTCCCAGATGCTGGAATTGTATCTAGGCTGGATCTGTTTGATGGGAACTGTAAAACTCTGGAGTTTTAATAAGAAAATAGTGTTTTGAAATTCTGCAATGAAACCAGAATTGAGTTTTAATCAGCAGGATTTAAATCTGTGCATGTGGAAATTAGAAATATACATTTATTTAGCTTTAAGAAAAAATGATAAAATTCGCCCAGTAATACAGTAGATGAATCATAGTTGATTGGTCCTTCAATTGATGCTATTTTATGATAGAATGTATTTATTTAGCAGTGACCCTACTTACCGACTGAAGTGATGAGGATGTGAATGACAGTGACCGTTACAGCGTAATCCCAAACCCATTCTTCCACGACCAGGGCAAACAGCAGACCGCAGACAAAGAAAGTTATTTCCAGTGAGATCACAAGAACTGTAAGTGAAAATGGGATACTTACACCAAACACGGTTTGAAAAGAATTTTTTTTTTTTATTCAAAATATAGGAATTTTTTCTAGGAAGGTTAAAATGTCTGAGATGATAGTTACGAAAACAAGGTTTCATAGTTATGAAAACATAGTTTCATAGTTATGAAAATCTCAGTTTTACAAGATTGAATGTTTTCATTATAAAGTTAATGATGTCCATAATGATGTCCATAAGTTAATATGTTACATATTTTGTGGAAAAACAGATTAATAGGATTATGGCCAGTTCCTGTAGCCAGGAGGAGAAATGGTGTAGAAATTTTGCTCAAGGACTGTCCACACTCTTTGGATGTGGCCCCAGATAGATTTGGTTCATGCTGACATCAATCAAGTTTTACCCATCCCAAACAGAATTTTATGGTTAAGGACTTATGTTTAGTAAGAAATTTCATAGCTTTCTCCCCGTGCACTTCATTGCATCAAAGATGTATCGATATATGAAAATATATTTAAGATTAGCATAGCTGAGAGAGTAGAGACACCATTGTTATTTTTTCATTGTATTTAATTTATACATTTGGCAGCATTTTGTGCCTTTCATGTTTATTCTTTTCCTTATAGGGTTCATTCTTTAGATCAATTATTTCCTACTGTAACATGGATCTTTCACCCAGCAGCTTGAAAAAATGTAAAAAAAAAAAAGAAAAATATAACTGGAAAACCACATGTAGTTAAGAAAGTGGGAAATAACACTTCAAAAAATTTAACATTTGACTACGCATTTTAATATTTTTAGTTTATTATATTTCAAGATGGTAGGATCCCTTCAAATTACGCCAATGATTTAATTTTCTTTTCCGTTGCGACAACTGAAATGCTCTTTTTTAATCTGAAATCAGCACTGACACTGTACAAGTCTCCCTGCATTTTTATTACTCTTTTTAACCCAGTGAACTAACCGGTTTACTTTTGAGCTTTACTTACTTTACTGACAGACTATGTGGTTTGCTTTTGTAAAATAGATTACAAATCTGGTAAAATTTCAAGTGTGCATGTAGGAGTGACAGTTTAGGAAAAAGAATACATTTTGAGAGCCTCAGACAAAAATGCCAAAATTGGTATTAGGATAAATAAAGATATATTTAGGGATTGAGCTACAATCAAACCCTGAAATTTTAATGCACACTGTGTTCAGCAAAATTACAATTAGTTGAATGTGACCTGTTTTTTCAGATCTGGATCCAATATGGTTCATGAGAAATTTGATGCAGCACGAAAATTAAATTTAGCCACTTTGCGGAGGAATTTTGCAGAGAATAGGTAATTGTTCTGCGTGGAAAGATGAAGCATCCTGCCAAAGCAGCACGTTTCCTTCAGATGTTGTAAGATCAGAAGAACAACTCAAGGAAAAGCTGAACAATCTCTTGAATGGTAAGTGGCAATACATAAATGAGAAGTGCGGGGAAGATGAATAAGCATTTAAATGCAGGGTAGTTAAAATACAGAAATCTTTGGTCTTATTAAAACAGTTGTAAAATACTGTCCATAACGAAGACAAGTTTACAGCCAGATTTCTTGGCTGGAGAAAAAAAGAGAAACAAACTTCAGTTACCTAAATAATATGGGTTAATCCATGAGGGATTTGTCTTAAAATCAAACGGTGCCAAACCATCCAACATTTTAATCCTGTGGAAACAGAAAGAATACATTTAACCACAGCTTTTCAATAAAGCCTTAAAAGTTATTGCTGTTTTTAAATGCAATTTCAAATGGAATATTCAGCTTTTACAAGATCTCCACGTTCCATTAGATGTTACGGTCTTGCCCTTGAACACAGTGTTCACGATCTCTACTTTAATTTGAGACATGGCTGGCACTATACATGCTAATCAACTTCCTAAGGGCATAGAATTTGTGGCTTTTATCACCTATAAAATCTTTCTTTTCCTTTTTTAATGTCCACTTTGCTCTTATGTTCATTTATGTACATGGTGCAAGTGCAAGGAGGTAGATTAGAACCAACATTTTCTATTAGTTTTGAGTCTCTGTTTGCCAAATTGCACACTTGAGGTACAACAATTGAAGTGAATTTAAAACAAAATATGTTCACAACTGGGACTGGGTGCCAGTCTGGATGCCTCCTCTGCAGGGTGGTGGCTCTACCATTATATCTAAGACAAAGGAATCTTACTTGAATACTGCGAAGCACACGGAGAGGACCACATAGTACACCGTGTAGAAAACTACCATGCATATCAACAGGTTCACCAGAACAACCTGCAAAAGGCAAAAAGACAGCAAAACCTAATGCCACGTTTGTATTAGTCACATCACTGTCAGAAAATAATGCCAGATTTCTATCAATCACAATGTGAAAAATAAAAGAATCTTACTTGAATACTGCGAAGCACACGGAGAGGACCACATAGTACACCGTGTAGAAAACTACCATGCATATCAACAGGTTCACCAGAACAACCTGCAAAAGGCAAAAAGACAGTCAAACCTAATGCCACACTTGTATTAGTCACATCACTGTCAGAAAATAATTCCAGATTTCTATCGATCACAAGGTGAAAAAAAAAAAAACAACTAGAAAACAAAATATTTAGACGGAATTTTTGCTGTTGCCTAGTACATAAAAGGTGTTAAAGTCTCTTTGGTACGTTTCAGCTCCTAATGTGTGGTTATAATGCATGGTTCTTTGTTTTTATCATATATTATTGCATACCAGGTGTTTATTGAATTTATAAGTGCTCAGCGAATGAGAAGCACATTTCTTGACAGTTATTACACAGGAGACCTTGAGAGCTTAATTAGTTTTTAACCTAGTTTTATCCTTGTTTTTAACTTAAAAGAAATGCCATCCTTCTAAGGGTGTTGAAAATGTCAAAAATGGTAAAGCAGTAACTGTTGAGTTTCCCAGCCTCTAGAAAAGATTGCTCTAGTGTTTACTTCCAAAGGTAGGGATGTAGACAATTTACATGAGGAATGAGGCATATCTGCTAAATATTTTTCAAAGTTCAACTGCTTCTGAATTAATTCTAAATAAATCCCAACTCCAAACTGAAAAAATATCCCTAAAGATATGAGTTTCACAAAGCAACCACTATTTTATGATCAAATACTGTGTCTTTAAGAGAAGAGAAACGCTATATACGGAATTACACAAAGGATGTATGTTTCCTAAGATACCCCAGTATTATTACTTCTTTCATTCCATTTCAGTGTCTTCATTTCTAAACTGAGGTTTCAGAAGCAATGCAGCCAGAGAAAAACCTGCAAGCTTTCACCTGATAAACTTCATAAAATGCCTTGTGATCCTTTCAAGGGAACATATCTCTGATCCCATAGCTCTGATCGTCCTGAATTATGTGGACCCCAAGACTTATGTTCATTCCTACGAGTAAAATGTAAAATTATGTTTTTAAGGTTAATAAGTTTTGGTAATGCAGAACGCGTTAATTTCTGGTTTTCTGTTATGATATAATGACATTCCAGGTGTTTATTTGGGCTTTTATTTTTTTGAAGGGAAACATGGGACATCAGGACTAGACATCTCTATGCATCAAAGGTGAGCAAGTTTTTTGGCAGTATGGTCTGCTTGCTTAAGAACATGAAACTCAAGATGTTCACTACAGTCAATAAACTGGTCAATAAAATCAGTTTTTCTTTTCTATTGACTCCAGATTGTCTTGTATTTTCTCACTCTAGTTAGTGCTTTATCATGTTGTATTTCTTCTTTCCTCTTTCTTAATTCCTTTATGTCTTTCCTCTTTCAATGGCCATTTTTTGTAACTCCTGACTCTTTCTTAAGTGTTTCATTTTCTTCTCTGCCAACCCATGTCCATCCTGCATTTTCTACTCTTTACTTTCCTCTGAAAAAATACAGTTAGAAAGCAGTCCTGAGAAAAAGAATGACCGTAGAGAGAATTGCCATCGGCTCCATATTCTCCATCTTTAGTATTGGAAGGATCTGTGGCTACATTTTGCTTTTTGCTATTGAAGCATTCCAGTTTCTGTTGCAGGAGTACTATTGTATAAATTCTTAGTCCAAGTACAACGCATGTAATGAGTTAAGAATTTTCTTGCCCTGTCTTCAGCTTGGCTATCAAATATTTGAAACTAGAAATGTGTGTTTACCTGACTCCTCTGGGAAGACCTCCATAGATCTTCAAACTATGATGCATCACACAATAATGATCTAAGGGAACATAATTACTATAGTGATTCCATTATTAAGTAAATACATTTGAACATGTAGATCTGGGCCCTAAGTCCTCACATTTTTGTGTGCCCAGCAAGATCCCACACTGAATTTCCCCTGAGATCAATGGAATTGAGCTGACAGCGAGTGAGTCTGGAGGTTTTGATGGTTTACAGGACTTCTTGTCTATATTGATCAAAAAATAAATTTAAAATGGAAAAATGAAGTCTAAGATGATGAAATATTCCAAATATAGGCATTCACTCAGAAGTAAATCCATGAAAAGTGGCCCTGTATGAATGAAGTAGTAAAATACAGAGGACTGGCTGCAATTTTTTGGTGTATCAGAATGGCAGGTGGAGAGTATGGACTGCATATAGCAAAGCTATTTTAGAAAAAATAGGTAACAACTAACAGAGGAATAGGACTCAATTCTGAAAAAAAGTAAAAGGAATCACATGTGTGCAAGTTGGTTACAGGGACCAGGGTATGGGAAATAATAATCACATATTCATAACTAAAAAGGAAGAGGAATTATTTGGAGAATAACTAAGACTAAAGGAATGGAACAAAACCCCTATGTGTAAAATGCTGCCAAGTTTCAAAAAGCATTTCCCTTTTGCAAAGTTTGAAAGAAACTGGCTCTTTTTATTTATTTGCTTTTAGTCAAGAACTTTTCTCAAAACTAGTTATTGAGTGCCCTTATCATTGCTGTGGATTTTAAGGATAAAATTGGATAATGTTCTTGACAAGTGATTCAAAATTAATAAAGAAACAAAATTAAGAAAATAAAAGATACAGAATTTTTCAAGTCCTCATTTTTAAATTAAATTCAGTTGGCAGGTGAGATTGCAGTGAAAAATGTAAAAGATAAGCCAGCACTGAAGTACAATTTTCATTTTGATTTAGTTTGCTATATACTGGCAAAAGGAGCCCTTATTCAAGGAAGCAGTGATTCTAAGAAGGGCTGTAGATGAGCATTAGCTCATACTAGCTCATTTTTATGAGCTGCTTTTGCAATATTATGACACAAAACAAACCCTTAAGGCTTTGGGTTTTAAGGCAGGAGAGTATGAATAGAAATAAGGAATATTACCTCTAAACACAGCACTTGGAAGACCAAGTGGCATCCAATTTGGCGCCACCAATTTTTAAAGCAAGTTAAGAAATTAAGAAGGTGCAGAGAAGAACCACAAAAGGGAGCTGATGGCCAGAAATGTGGGGTTTTTTTTTCATTAGGACTACAGCCCTAATGAGGTCAATCTGTTTAGCTCTGAGGGCTGATTTGATTATGATGGATAAGTACCTTCGCAGGCAGAAAATACCTGGTACTTAAGGGCTCTTTAATCTATCAGAAAAGCCACAAGATGTAAACAGCTGCAAGTTATAGCAAGGCAAATTTGAAAGGTCTGTGAAGGGCATTTTTAACCGTAAAGGCAATTAGCCAATGGAACAAACTGCCTTTGGAAATAATAGATCCTTCAGAGCTAAACCAGATGCCTCTCTGGATGGAGCTTCACTCAAACATCTCTAACATGCTCTTCTGGCCTTAATTCTTTGAATGGTTGTGTGGTAGATAACACATTTATGGAACCGTCCGTTTCAATGGCCATTTTTTGTAACTCCTGACTCTTTCTTAAGTGTTTCATTTTCTTCTCTGCCAACCCATGTCCATCCTGCATTTTCTACTCTTTACTTTCCTCTGAAAAAATACAGTTAGAAAGCAGTCCTGAGAAAAAGAATGACCGTAGAGAGAATTGCCATCGGCTCCATATTCTCCATCTTTAGTATTGGAAGGATCTGTGGCTACATTTTGCTTTTTGCTATTGAAGCATTCCAGTTTCTGTTGCAGGAGTACTATTGTATAAATTCTTAGTCCAAGTACAACGCATGTAATGAGTTAAGAATTTTCTTGCCCTGTCTTCAGCTTGGCTATCAAATATTTGAAACTAGAAATGTGTGTTTATCTGACTCCTCTGGGAAGACCTCCATAGATCTTCAAACTATGATGCATCACACAATAATGATCTAAGGGAACATAATTACTATAGTGATTCCATTATTAAGTAAATACATTTGAACATGTAGATCTGGGCCCTAAGTCCTCACATTTTTGTGTGCCCAGCAAGATCCCACACTGAATTTCCCCTGAGATCAATGGAATTGAGCTGACAGCGAGTGAGTCTGGAGGTTTTGATGGTTTACAGGACTTCTTGTCTATATTGATCAAAAAATAAATTTAAAATGGAAAAATGAAGTCTAAGATGATGAAATATTCCAAATATAGGCATTCACTCAGAAGTAAATCCATGAAAAGTGGCCCTGTATGAATGAAGTAGTAAAATATAGAGGACTGGCTGCAATTTTTTGGTGTATCAGAATGGCAGGTGGAAAGTATGGACTGCATATAGCAAAGCTACTTTAGAAAAAATAGGTAACAACTAACAGAGGAATAAGACTCAATTCTGAAAAAAAGTAAAAGGAATCACATGTGTGCAAGTTGGTTACAGGGACCAGGGTATGGGAAATAATAATCGCATATTCATAACTAAAAAGGAAGAGGAATTATTTGGAGAATAACTAAGACTAAAGGAATGGAACAAAACCCCTATGTGTAAAATGCTGCCAAGTTTCAAAAAGCATTTCCCTTTTGCAAAGTTTGAAAGAAACTGGCTCTTTTTATTTATTTGCTTTTAGTCAAGAACTTTTCTCAAAACTAGTTATTGAGTGCCCTTATCATTGCTGTGGATTTTAAGGATAAAATTGGATAATGTTCTTGACAAGTGATTCAAAATTAATAAAGAAACAAAATTAAGAAAATAAAAGATACAGAATTTTTCAAGTCCTCATTTTTAAATTAAATTCAGTTGGCAGGTGAGATTGCAGTGAAAAATGTAAAAGATAAGCCAGCACTGAAGTACAATTTTCATTTTGATTTAGTTTGCTATATACTGGCAAAACGAGCCCTTATTCAAGGAAGCAGTGATTCTAAGAAGGGCTGCAGATGAGCATTAGCTCATACTAGCTCATTTTTATGAGCTGC